GTTTCAGAACACCTGGGGCCACAAATATAGGACATGGCTGCACCTCCTTTAAGCGGTAACGATTCCCCAAGATCCCAGGAAAAGATGTGGTTGTTTTAAACAATTCCAGACGGATACTATGTTCATGCTCCTCTGTGTTCAAATTTTATTTTCCAAATCATTTCTACATTGATAAAATGCTACATTATACTTCTCATCATTCTGAGGATTAATGGAAGTCATTGTGCAGCCTACGTAGATGGCATTGAGTAAGCAAAGCTACTTTGCTGTTCCCTGATTACTCTATATGTGGATGCCAGGTATCCCTTCTCCTCAAGAAACCTTACAGGGCTGCTTCAACAGAACTAAATCATTTATTTCAAACTTTCCTCTTTGCCTACACCATAAGAATCCATCTTTCATGTTGTAGGTTGTCAATAAAATGAGCTGTATCAACGGCATTCAGCTATGTGGTTGCAGTAGTATGATAACTGATTTTTTTTACTGAAAATCTGAAGTTGCTTGTGTTTCACGCAAATGCAAAGTCTGGCCATCCTAATGATTATTCTGCACAATTTCCCCCCACCTAACATCGGAGAGAAGGTTGCCCTCTGGTGGCTGGATGGTATCATAGCATTTGACATTACAGTATTTGCATGGTTATTCTTTTGCCTGCTTTGTGGATTACTGTACAGTATTATAATATGTATATATCCATCACATTATTGCTTTTCAAGCTAAACAATGATATGTAAAGCCCAGAAAAGAAATAATAAATAAATAGTAAGAGTATGGGATACAAAAAAGAAAATACAATTTAATTAAATAACACCATTCACAATACCTCTTCCTTGCTATCCTGTCAAACCATCCTTGCTTTGATTCACATTTTTTTTTTTAAAAAAAGCACCTGACTTTTAAGAATCTCATCAACTCTATCTAGCCATAACTCTGTCTTCCCCTTCTGGTCAGCACTTTTACTCTTCCTTCATGTATTTCTTTTGCAATCCAATCTTTGTTCCTCCTTTTTATATGACCAAACCATGTCAACTTCTTTCCCTTCCTTTTAGATTCCATACACATGGATTCCAAATTCATTCTTTAACTGACCTTTTCTTGTTTTAACATATACATTTCTTAAGTTTTCCATTCAAGTTCAACCTTGCAATCCTCTCACCTCAAGAAAGCTAAACTATATGCCTGCTCAATCTCTACATAGTTCTTCATGCAAATGACTAGTACAGCTTGTTCCATTTTCTATAAGTATTGACTGGGATTTATTGGAGCTGGAGGACATCAGATTGGTGAAGACTGAACTAATATCGAAGATAGATTTACTATGATACAGTTAAGTATGATTAAAGACAGAATGTGCTGCAAATTGTACAATAACAAAAGCTGCTAGTGAAATTTTGTTCCATCAACGATGTAGAATTTAATCCCGTATGATTGTTTAGAATTATTCCATTCAGTTCAGAGAGTGCAGAGTTTACATACAGACTTCAAATGTATAGCATAATCAGTTTTCTCTCTACCGTCACTGTTTATTTAAGGGGGGGGGGGAATATGGTGGCTGGAGCCAGAGCATAAAAAAAAGTAGAAAAGCCATACGAGATCAGAAAATGTGGAGAGAGCCCGTCCATAAAATTCCTGAAAATCGGTCACGATTGAATAGATAGCATTCCGGATATGGGCACCTGTATGTAAAATTAGAGAGTCCAGAGGAGAAAGGAGTCATCTGAGGTCTTTTTATCCCCGCCGCAGCCGCAGCCGCCCGGGCCTGCTTTTGCTTGGCTAAGCACTCTGAGCCAGCCATTTGCAGGCGGAGAAGCTGCTACCTGTGCCTCATAAGGGATCACGGCAGCTTGTGAACGCCGGCGAGAAGCAGCCGCAAGCCAAATAGGGGAGGGGGCGAGGGAACCTCTACAGCCCGCAGACACACGTGGCCGACGGAGCAGGGCAAGGACTAGTCCAGGGGTAGGCAACCTTGGCTCTTTTATGACTCGTGGACTTCAACTCCCAGAATTCCTGAGCCAGCATGGCTCAGCTTGGAAACCTCTCCCTTTCCCCTCAGCATGGCTGGCTCAGGAATTCTGGGAGTTGAAGTCCACGAGTCATAAAAGAGCCAAGGTTGCCTACCCCTGGACTAGGCCAAGCCGGGGCTCCTGAGCACGCGCCCCAGAGAGGGGAAAGCGCGGCCTGCAGGAGGGCGAGGCGTCGCTTGAGTTCCCACTCTCAGGCGGCCTGTCCCCGGAGAAACACTGCAGTCGCTGAAAGGGTTTTTAAGGACGATTGGAAGATTTTGCTTCCCCAGCCCCAGTTCTAGGCTGGTTTCTTTAGAAGAGGGAGTGGTGGGGTGCAGTATCCCTATGGCGGCTTGAAGGTGCGTGGACTTCAACTCCCAGAATTCCCCAGGCAGGCGATATCTGAGGAGGGGGACCCTGCTACCAAGGTGTTTCTTCTGGCCACCCCTGCCCTCAGGAAGCAGGGAAGCAAAACCGGCGGCTGACAGGGGCCTGATTAGCCGCCGCCGCAACGGCTGCCGCCGCCTCACCACTCTCCCACACCCCCACACCCCGCGCTCTGGCGGCTGAATCCGAGGATTTCCCTTCCGTGACAGGGTTTCCTCAGCCCCACGCGGAGGGGGCGGCGGTGTTGCGCTGGTTCGGCGGCTCTCTGCAGCACTCGCCCGCCTCTCTCCCTCCCTCCCTCCAGCAGAGGAACCTTTCTCACTCGGAGCGCGAGCCGAGTCTCCCAGGACTGCGGGGGAAGCACTTGCAGAGGCGGCTGCGCGCAGGCTCAGTGCGATTTCACTGCGTCTCAGGTTCTGGCTTGGGCCGTAGCCAAGGCAGAGAGGGCAGACGGGGTGCCCCGTGCGTAGAGGAAAGAAATCTCCCCGCCCCGCCCCCAATAAAATCCTCAGCAGCAAGAGCTTCTCCTTGGAACTGAAGAAGGCCGGCTGGCCCGGGAAATAGAGCGAATCCCTCCTGCTGCTGCTGCTGCTGCTGCCCACCTGCCAATCTAGCTGCAAAGCCAGCCAGCTGCAAGGCCGACGCAAGCTCCGGACACCAGGGGGCAGCCTTGAGCCGCCCGCTTCGCAACTCCCCGAGATTCCCTGCATTTCGCATCATCAGGAAATTCCCTTTGACGCGATGCCTCTGCAGCCTTCTGCAGTGTGCGCGCTCGGAGTGCTTGGCGCTGGCACGCCGCCCGGTTTCCTTCCCTTCCCTCAAGCTCCCGCTCCCAAACAGCTTGCATGACTCGCTGTTTACCTTCCCAATAAATAAAGATCCCAAGGTCTTGCGGTTCGGTTCGGAATCGGGACACGAGGTGTTTATATTCGACATAAAAATGGCGGGATGGGAGTAGAGCAAAGACCGTTAAGGGACGTTCAAGGGGTCGGCCTCTTCAACCGAAGGAGTAGCGAGCGAAGTGAAAGCAGGCGTAGATTTCCGCCAACTGGCTTGGGCCTCCCGATCATGCAAGAACGGCAAAGGTGGTCTTCCGCGTAGCTGCTACCTCGGTCACCCGGTGTCTGTATGGGGCACCTCAGGAACAACGTTCGGTGTAAAAGAATAGACATATATGTCGCCGCGTAAGACAAGAGAAAGGGTTCCCCAAGACAAGAAACCGCTTGTGGAGAAACAAGGCGCGGGGTGGGGAGCGCCCCGAGGGGGCCATGTCACCTTAATAATTGCATATACAAATGCAAGATCTGGGAACTCCGAGCAAGCGAAGCCATTTCCCAATGGCAAATTCAAAGAGGCCTCGGGAAGATTAGAAATTTAAACGTCTCCTGGATGCTGCACTGAAAAAGGAACCGGAAATTCGCCTCCGACCGGCCTGCGTGCTGCGTCTAAAGTACATCTGATGTGGCTTCGGCGGATGTTCCGAATTTGGGGAACCGTTCCCCGGAGCCTCCTGGCGCTTGGGCCTCCACCGGCTGTTTGGTCTAGGCCAGGGGTAGGCAACCTTGGCTCTTTTATGACTCGTGGACTTCAACTCCCAGAATTCCTGAGCCAGCACAGCTGGCTCAGGAATTCTGGGAGTTGAAGTCCACGAATCATAAAAGAGCCAAGGTTGCCTACCCTTGGCCTAGGCTCTGTTTGTGTGAGACACTTGCCCCGCAGCACTAGCGCCGCCCCGCTTGGTGTTTACCCTGCCGCGCGCCCCCTGTCGCCTCAGATTGGAGGAGATCCTCCTCGCCCGGGGCCTGGCAGGTTTAAATAGTACCTCTCGGCCGCCGAGACCGGGAGAGGCGTTTCTGCAGCTTCTGGGCCTTCAGGGAGACCAAGCGCTGCTCCTCCTCCTCCTCCCCCTTTTCCTTTCCCTTTCCTTTCCCATCTCTTCCAGCCAGACTCTCCTCGTCGCTCTCTCCCGCCCGCCTGCCTCTGCCGGAATTGCCTTATAAGGAGCAGGAAGGCTCCGGCCGGAACAAGGACTTATAAGGCTTTTGCCATATATGGGCCTCAGCGTCCGGGGGGCCTTCCGGCAACCGTGGCTGGAACGGCAAGGAGGAGTGGGGGGGGGAAACCTCGGAAAGAAAACAGTGGAGACCACACCGCAGAGGCTCGAGCCAAGGGACGGGCAGGGTGGGAGCCCAAAAAAAGGCCCCAGGGCGATAGCGGGAAGCTCGCGCGTTCCCCCTCCCCAACCGCACCACTCGGCTTCCCCCAATGTCGAGCTCTGACGCCAGGCCGGGTCCTCTCGCTTGCCTCCATATAAGGGCTTCCTGCCTTCCATATTTGGACATGTACGTCAGGAAAGAGGCGGGCCGGAGAGATGAGACGAGATATATAGAGGCTGCTCCGGGGCGGGCGGGGAGCCGAGAGCTTTCAGCGAATAGATTGAAGGGGAGCCCCGGGCAGGGTGGGGTGGGGAGGGAGCCGAGCGCCTCCCGCGGGCAGAGCCAGGGGGAACCCCAGGCCGGCCGCGGAGTTAGCAGGCCCCCCCCAGTGGACCTCTCGGCGGGCGGCAGCCCACCCTCCGTGTAGCCCCGGGCAAAGCCCAAGAACACCCCCATGGCCGCAGCCAAGGCCGAGATGCAGCTCCTGCCCTCGCTGCAGATGGCCGACCCTTTCGGACCCTTCCCGCACTCGCCCCCTACTATGGACACCAACTACCCCAAGCTGGAGGAGATCATGTTGCTCGCCGGTGGGGGGCCACAGTTCCTCAATCCCGTCGGTGGCCCCGAGAGCGGCGGCGGCGGCTTCAATCACTCCGGCGACGGTGGGGAGCACTCCTTCGACCACCTCCCTGCAGGTAGGCAGAAGCACGTCCCGCGGGTGGGGGGGGGGGACGGGACAGATTCCGCTGGGAGTTCCCGCCCGTCTGCTCTCCAGCAGGGAATTCCGCTATCCAGAGGGAGCGGGGAGGGGGGGGGGATGCTCCGGTGTGCGTCACTCACTCCGGCCCCGGCCTTCTGCGGCTGGAAGGGCGCCAAGCGCCGCCAGATGTTGTGCAGAGACACTCGGCCCCTCTGGATGAAGGGGACGGTCCTCGGGAGACGCGGGCGGCGGGCAGCGCGCGGCCCGGGGGAAAAAGTCTCGCCTCTTGGAGGCATGCGGGGGCTCGTGGGGGTTGGGGAAGGCACCCTGCTGGGGACTGATTTCTGGCCCCTCTTCCCTCGGCAGACACTTTTCCCGAGATCTCTCTGAACGGCGAGAAACCTTTAGCAGAGACCAGCTATCCGACCCAAACTACCCGCCTCCCGCCCATCACCTACACCGGCCGCTTCTCTCTGGAGCCGGCGTCGAGCGGCGGAGGCGGCGGCAGCACCCCGTTATGGCCGGAGCCTCTCTTCAGCCTGGTGAGCGGCCTGGTGGGGATGGCTAACCCCGCGACTACGTCGGCCCAGTCTTCCTGCGCCTCTTCGCCCATCGCCAGCTCCGCTTCTCCCAGCCCGGCTTTGAGCTGCTCGGTGCAGGCCAGCGACCCCAGCCCCATCTACTCAGCGGCGCCCACCTTCCCCAACCCCGGCGGGGCTGACATCTTCCCAGAGCAGAGCAGCCAGCCGTTTCCCAGCCCGTCGGGAGCCTCGCTACAGTTTCCGCCTCCGGCATACCCGACGGCCAAGAGCGGCTTCCAGCTGCCCATCATTCCGGACTACTTATTCCCGCCTCAGCCGCCACCGCAGCCGGGCGACCTGGGTCTGGGCTCGGTGGAGCAAAAGCCCTTCCCGGGCCCGCAGCCCTCGCTCACTCCGCTCTCCACCATCAAGGCCTTCGCTACCCAGAGTGGCGGCGGCGGCAGCTGCGGCACCGGCACCGGCACCGGCACTCCGCAGGAGGCCAAGAGCCTGCCAAGCGGCGGCTCCTACCAGGCGCAGCTGGTCAAGCCCAGCCGCATGAGGAAGTACCCCAACCGGCCCAGCAAGACCCCGCCGCACGAGCGGCCCTACGCTTGCCCCGTCGAGTCCTGCGACCGCCGCTTCTCGCGCTCCGACGAGCTCACCCGCCACATCCGCATCCACACCGGCCAGAAGCCTTTCCAGTGCCGCATCTGCATGCGCAACTTCAGCCGGAGCGACCACCTCACCACACACATTCGCACTCACACCGGCGAGAAGCCCTTCGCCTGCGACATCTGCGGCCGCAAATTCGCCCGCAGCGACGAGAGGAAGCGCCACACCAAGATCCACCTCCGGCAGAAGGACAAGAAGGCCGACAAGGCACCCCCCGGGCCCCAGGCACCCTCGACGTCCTCCCCTCTGGCCCCTTACTCGGCCTCGACCTGCTCTACCTCGTACCCCTCACCCGCAGCCACCTCTTTCCCCTCACCGGTGCCCGTCTCCTACTCATCCCCGGCGACCTCCTATTCCTCCCCCGTGACTTCGGCCTTCCCTTCGTTCCCCTCGCCCTCGGTGGCCACCAGCTACGCCTCGATCGCCTCTTCCAGCTTTCAGAGCCAGGCGGGGCTAGGGGGCAGCCCCTACCCCTCTCCCGGAGGCCTCTCCAGCCCCTTCGGCTCCCCAGTGACTTCGACCCTTCCCGACTTGGCCTCCACTTTCTCGCCTCGGACCATTGAGATCTGTTGAGAGAAGAAAGGGTCCCCAAAGGGCCTGGTGTAGGCCCGGCTCCTCCTCCGGACCTTTCAACTGCCTGAAAAGCAGCTCGACAACTCCGGGATCGTGGAGTTGCTCCACTTCTGTCCAAGAACTGAACCATGCATGGATGAGCAAGCGCGATCTTCTTTCCCCGAGAGCCCCCCCCGCCCCCTTTCCCTTCTCTCCGGGGGGGGTGTCCCGCGGTCCATCAGAAAGCAAAGGACGCTGGGCTCCAAGGCAGTCTCAATTGTGATATCGTGTGCCTGCCCGCCCTGCCACGGCTTTGCTTCCGCTGGGGACCCTCGACGTGCCAACCTCTTTGCAGATTCATCTTGCTTACAGTATTCTTTGGAGTACGAAGGACCATTATTATTATTTTGTAAGTTGTGGAGTTTTGCTCTTTTAGTGACGACAAAGCTGTACTGACTTTTACAACGTGTCTGGGGGAGGGGGCTCGGGAGTTTTGTTTTTTTTTAAAAAGCAGCACTTAAAACTATGTATTTGAGCATGTCAAGAGTGTGATGTTCTTTGTAAATATCACCTTAAGGATGAAAAGCACTCTCACGTGGCAAAAAGTTACTTAGTTTTCCTCCGGTTTTTTTGTTTTTTTTTCCCCCCCCAGTCCCAAGTCTTGGTGCCTTGTTGTGAAGCCCTGCTGACGTCATGCATTGGTGTGATTGGATGCTTTGCATCTAGCCTTAAGGGAAAAGGGAAAGTGTGAAAAGGAGGGACTGAGGCTCAGAAACAAAAATGCGAAAGAGAGAAAGGAGCGTAAGGTGGAATGTAAGCAAAAACAAAACACAAAAAACCGTACTTCTTAAAAGTCTATTTTTGTTACAGAAGTGTAAAAATTTATAAATACATTCAGCAGTTGAAATGTTGTAGTTACCTACTGAGTAGGCGGCAATTTTGTATGTTATGAACATGCGGTTCATTATTTTTGTGGTTTTATTTTTGACTTTGTACTTGTGTTTGTTTATAAGCCAACACATTGAATGCGCTTTACTGCCAATGGGATATTTGGTGTACAATAACCTCCAGAAAAGTTAATAAAACTATCAACAGACCAGCAGTCCTGTTTTTGTTGTTGGTTTTCCTTATTCCAGGCCCAGCTTGGCGGCTGCCCTTGCTCCTTTCCACTGGGAAGATGCTGCCAAGGGGGGGGGAGGACACTTTATTTTTGTGACTCAGGAAGAACTTGAGGAGTTGGTTGGCCACTTCTTTGAGACCCAATCAGTGTCACCATCACTCTCAATCCCATGACATACTGGAAAGCGCTCTCTCTCTCTCTCTCTCTCTCTCTCTCATTCTCTCTCTCTCTCTCTGTGTGTGTGTGTCTGTGTGTCTGTGTCTAGGCACTGAAGCTGGAAAGGGGAATGTGAGCTCTTCCTGTTACTCTGATTTTGCTGGGTGGGTCACTGATGGAGTCTCCCTTTTGTCAAGTAAACAGTTGGGCTTAGAAAGAAAAATCTAAAAATGGGGAACCCATGGGGCCACAGACCTTGTCACTCCTGATTATTGCCCTTGCTGGCTGAGGCAGATGGAAGTTGGAGTCCCACACTACTTAGGGTTCTTACAACATTACTTCAAAGTACCTGATCCCCCAAACCTACACTTCCATCAATGGCTAACAAACATATGCCGGGGAGGTGAGGGGAAGAGGTATGGATCTATTTCCCTGGGATCTGCGAGGGGGGGGGGCTAAGACCTCTCAGCTGTTCTTTCCTTTCCCTCCCACACACAGCCCATCATTTTATTCTGGTGACAATAAGGATCCTTTGCTTACAGGGGAGGGGGAAGGGGAAGCAATCAAAGGAGCACCCAAAGAGATCGCTTGATGCACCCTAAATGCAGAAGCCAAGCAATTCCAGAGGCAGTTGGAGAAAGGGGGAGAGAGAACCTGCCGAGAGGACTCTACAGACAGGACTCTAGATCCTGAAGACTAAGAAGAGTCTGGATCTCAGTTCCATTCCGGGACAAATTTATGTCATATTCCTGCTTCCAGTCTGGATCCCAGCGGTAGGAGGGGGACGGAATCGGTTGTTATTCTTTCCGGATCCCAAGAACTCAGGCAGAACCAGGCAGACAAGAACTCAGTGGGCCGGGTTTCCTTAAAGAAAGGTCGCTGCTCCGGGCAGAATCTGTTTAGACCAGAGCCCCGTCCGAGTCCCCTCGCCATAGGAAGCTGCCGGTGAAATACAAGAGCAACGCGGGGGGGGGGGGGATCCGCGAGCAAAGTTACGACAAGCCCCGGGCAGCGAGAAGCCCTCGAAGTTGCTCTGCTTTCACTCACTCCCACCTCTAGTTTGCCCGGACTATTTTTTTCTATTGAACCTTTCCAAGAGCTGAGGGGTTTCCGAGGCGGCGCGAAAGGCGAGGATGCCAAACCTTGATTTCTGTAAGGAAAACAGCTTTTGGAGTTGCTCTTTTATTCTGCAAAAGGCTGCAGCTCCCCTTCCGTTCCGGTCTGCGCAAAACACGCGCAGCCTCCAGCGCTCGATCGAGCACGTCGTCCTGTAGTAAGGAGGACTTGCGCCGCAGCCTTAGACCCAACCTGAGGGGGGGGGGTGTCCCTCCGAGTCTTCTCCGGGGCTTCAAGCTCCATGATTAGGATGTAGGGGGGGGGAAACCCTCTTGTCCAGCAAAACAGCTTTGTGGGTTGGGGACTTATCACTGAGAATGGAAATGAAAGAAGTCCTCGGGCCCCCAAGCCTAAAAGGGGCTTCAGACTATAGTAGAGGATTCTCTGGCGGATCTCCCTCCCAGATCGTGGCATTTTCTGGCATTGGTTTGACAGGGTAGAAAGAGGCTCCGTGAACAATCCCCATTTGGCCTTTCCAAAAACGGAAGCTCTTTCAGGTCTGATTCCTGTGCAGAGCATGCAGAATCTTCCCCAAGGTGGGCAAACAATTTTTAAAAAGCTGCATCGGACCCATTTCTGCCTGTCCTGAGAAAAGCGCCACAGGTGGACAAACTGGCTTCCTGCCGGAAGCTTCGAAACAGCCTGATTTTCGGTCCCTGCGCTTAAGACTGGGAGAGAAAGGAGCTGTGCCTCTGCGGAGCAGCTACTGAAGAAGGGGAGGCTGTCCGCGCCGTCGAACAAAAGGCGTCCCTTGGGGCAGCTCCTCCACCCAAGTGCTAGCTAGACCAGTGATGGCGAACCTTTTAGAGACCGAGTGCCCAAACTGCAACCCAACACCCACTTATGCATCGTCGAGTGCCGGGTGGGTGTGGCCCATTGGGTGGGTGTGGCCCATTGGGTGGGCGTGGCTGCAGTGGTAACGGCACACTGGGTGGGACTAAAAAGTTCAATCAATTCCAACTTTGCAAGATCTTTTTTTCCCCCGCGAGAAGTTGAAATTGACTGATTGAACCTTTTTTTTTTTTGCACACGGCGGTGGAGGCCTAAAGTGAAAAGATTTTATAAAACCTAGCTGAAGGCCTAGGACTTGGGCGATGGCACACGTGCCCACAGAGAGGGTTCTGAGTGCCGCCTCTGGCACCGATGCCATAGGTTCGCCACCACTGAGCTAGACGGTTCTCTGGAAAGCCGGACAGATATTAGCCTTCGGGTCCGGAACCCCCAGCAAGCAGATGCCTGTTGCCGGCCCTAGAGGTCCTTGGATACCTTGCTGATAGCTGCGCTCCTGTCTCCAGAGGAAGACTTCTCTTCCCCCCCCCCCCGCTGGGGCAGCCGGAGGATAAGCTGGGCAGGAGCTGGCAAAAGGGCTGCCTCCTGGTGTTTGGGGTGGGGTCCCCTGCTATTCCTTGTCTTAATAATAATAATAATAATAATAATAATAATAATAATAATAATAATAATAATAATAATAATAATAATAATAATAATAATAATAATAATAATAATAATAGTAAAGTTGGAAGGGACCTTGAAGGTCATCTAGTCCAACCCCCTGCTCAGGCAGGAAACCCTATACCATTTCGGACCAACGGCTGTCCAGTCTCTTCTTAAAAACCTCCAGTGTTGGAGCATTCACCGCTTCTGGAGGCAGGTTGTTCCACTGGTTAATTGTTCTCACTGTCAGGAAGTTTCTCCTTAGTTCTAAGTTGCTTCTCTCCTTGATTAGTTTCCACCTGTTGCTTCTTGTCCTGCCTTCAGGCGCTTTGGAGAATAGCTTGACTCCCTCTTCTTTGTGGCAACCCCTGACCTGGAACGTATAGGAGTTGTGATCTAAAACAAAAAGAGGGTGTCAGGTTGGGAATGGGCGGAGTCACGTCATCGGCAGGTGTCGTTAGGAGATCCGAAGGTGCCTCCTTTCTCTCCGGGAGGAAGAGAGCTGCAACGCCGAGTGGGTGCTGGGGATTCCCCCGAGGAGAGCGGTCCTGAAGTCCCGCGGCACCAGCCCTTGAAGGGCAGAGCAAGCCGCCTTTGAGGGCGGGCTGGTCGTTTCAAATGGCAGCAGACTTATTCAGAAGTTGGTCAGTAGCCAAGGAGGTCAAGGCGCCCCGGAAACTCGGCTGAAAAAGTCTTCTGTCAGGATGGTCCCTTGAGACTCTTTGTGTCCGCCAGCGGGGTGTGTTTAACACTCCTTACACACGACCGTCGCCGGGGGAAAGGCTCCAAAACTCCTGGAAGCTCCCAAGACTCCTGTGGTCCCGTAGGCAGTGCGGGAGAAGTCTCCCGGCTCCCCAGAAAACGACCGGAGAGCTGGTTGTGGGTGGAGGGCTTAAAAGCAACCCAGCGTCTCTAGGGGTTTTTTTTCCAGCTGCGCCTGGCGCAATCTGGACCGTCCGAAAGTTTGGGAGGAAGGACAACTTCCAGAATCCTCTGCTTGGCCGGGAATCCCACGTCTTATATACCTTCAACAGGTTGGAAGGCGCTAAATTGAAGAAAGCAAGTTGCGCTGCTCGCCTTACATAAAGCGTCCATATGTTTACAAATGAAACGGCACGTGTTTCACACGGCGCGCTGACCCCTTGTTAATACAACCCCAGCTTCCCGAACCAATTCGGCATTACGCCTTACCAGGACCCTCAGAACGAGGAAGGAACCACACCGAGCGGGATTCGAGCCCCAGGCTCGGCCGAAAGGGGAATGACCAACCAGCCGAGAAGCGGGTACGCTGTAGGACTTGGCCGGATCCACACACCCCCCTTCACCCTTTCCCGATCCTGAGAATAACC